TATGGAATTTCAGTTGAGGCCGATGCAAGTAAACCCTCTCGCGGACTGAAATTACATAGCAGCTCTTACGTGTTCGTTCTCTCGGTGCCTCTATCGATGAAGATTAGATACGAGGATCCGTAGCCACAGCTGTAGCTAGATAATATTACGTTGCAAGAGTCGCGTTCTTTCTTCAAGGTTGATTTTCCCGCCTGTATTTTTCTAACGTTCGGTTGGCAGCTGGAAAACGAAAACTCGAACTTTGGCCAGGTTGCGGTGAAGTTCCGGCGTTCCGTACACGATGGCGAGCCAACTTTCCGCACGACCGGTATGCCGAGCATCTATTAAACGATCGATCGGTAGGGTTTCGTAGGTTGTTCGAGGAAACTTTGGCCCGTAGTCAGTTGCCGAATTTCGTGCGGTTACTTTCGGTGAAAAATCGGCGAACCCCTGAGTGGGTGTAAATCACTTGTGGCTTCTGGTCAATCACTTCTCTTATGCTTCTTTCTCGTTTCAACACCGTGACTTGCATTATGAATATTCCAAAAGAACGAGAAAGAATGGAGGGAGCTAGTTAATCTTGTAACAAGCTAGACCACCAGCAATTACGTTACCCAATACTCCAACAATAGCCGGCTAAAACCTTACTCCGATTAATCATACGAGTTTCAATTAGTACGTTACGTACAGATTACTGCAATCTGTGTAACGATAGTAATCCATGCGAAGTACTATTGAGAAACACCTTCATTCGAGGGGATTTTAATTCCTCTAGCTAACCAAGAATCGTTTATAGATAAAGAAGCAAAAGTACATGGAGGACAGAATGTTTTGATAATAAAGGGAGTCGAGGTTGGAAGAAAATTTGAGAGCCAAGTCTCATGTGGCAACCAAGATTTGCCTACTTTCAAACTTCTGGCCATCTGTGATTTGCGACACAGTTGCTCGTATTATATAGGTTCACAGGATGGAAATTTAGTTCACCAACAATTTTTTAGTTCGACACGGGGAACATGGACGTTCAGAGATGCTACAGAAGTTCGTTGAGTCCAGCAACATCCTATCTCGTCGATACAACGATCGAATTCGAGGGAACCCGTTGATACATGACCGTCGCGGCTCCATGAATCGCGATAAAAAATTTGTTACGAGCCTGTGCAACTCTCCTTTGCCACTTAGCTCTCTCGTTCGTGCCACTCGAATGTCAAAGATCGATAGTTCATCGACCTCGTACCCTTTTTCGAGAGATTTGGTTGAATTTCGGTGGGTTCGTGGATACGAGTGTATCCCTTGGTCTTGATTCATCCTGACCCTTTTCAACTTTCAAAAAGCACACCAATTTTTGTACTTCGTACACTTGATACCTGGGGCTCGAATCTCAGTCAGGTTAGCGAAATCAAAAATAAAAATTGTTAAGATTGCCATCGGTTGAAAGGGACACCAGCTTTTGCGATCGTTTCATGGATCTCCAATTATGGTAAATTGATTTCAGAGCAAACTATGGTCGAAAAGTTGAGCAAATACACATACAACGTGGAAAGCATTGACTATATGGAATCGTGGAAGTAGACTATTTCATAGAACATATGTGGGTACTTGTTACTCTTGATATCGTCAAATTTTATTTGTTTATTTAACAATTATTAACGGGCGAGTACCTTTTACATTGTACGATGGTAGCATATAAACCTCCGGAGAGTACAAAGGAACTAAAAACGAGTATTGTGTTCACAAACAGTTAAATGATTCGGATTATTACAACACAGCATACATAAGCTCTTTCAGAGTGCTAACAGGATTAGAGAATGATGCTGTGCGGAGGTACATAAAATTTTATGTTCGCTAATAAAGTAGGACAGTCAATAAGATTTTTAATCTGTTCTTGAAAGTGAAAAGTCTGAAAGAGACAGTAACAACTAGAAATTTAGTCCTTCAATTGTATTGAACTAATTTGAACCTAAAATATCATCAAAGAGTTAGGTAACTTTTCCTCATACGAAATGTGTAAAGCATCGTCTATAGCGTAAGGGAAAGAGTGTATCCGGTAGTATATAGATACGATGATTTTGCTTCAAGATATAGATTCAAAGGACCACTAGGGTCAACTACGAGAAGGTATGGACACGTACGCGTTTCAAGGCATGCCGGAGTTAGAAACTCGATGGAAGTCGTGATTTCGGAGCATTGCGGTGGGAAACGGTGTTCTCTGTCTCTTACCGGCTTCCTTTCTCTCCTTTGGTCACCTTTATTTCTTTTTCTCGGAGCCCGCTTTACAGCTGCCAGGCACAAGCGAGGCACGTTCGAATCGTAAGGCTGGTTTCGTGTACGGGGGCGTTGGATATGTGAGCGAGCAAATTGAAGAAACGGAAAGTATGGGCAATGGCCAAATGATCGCAGTGGTCGCAACCGACTCGAAATCGTAAGGTACGAGAGGATACGCCGAGTTGCTCGAGTTGAATACAGCTCAGAACTTGACCGAGACATGGTACGTTCGCGAGTTTTCCAAGCTAAGGATCCGCGTTAACTCGTCGTTATTTCTCGGCTCTCGTATTTTCCACGAAAATTGTTTTATTGTTGTGTAGATCTTGTGGCTTAGTACTTTGTGTTCGACTCTGATTTGGAAACTGTGTGTGTAAGATAGGGTCTTGGAAAGTAGGCTATCTCTGAAGAAAAGCAAGTAAACTCTTGACCTTTAGCTTGAACTTCCATACCCAGGAAAAATCATTTTGTACACCAGTTATCGAGACAATATCTCTTATTCAATTGAATACAACGTTCCTTCTCTATATTTTTCACTTTGAATCTTTTCTCGAGTGCTTTCATATCATTATTTTCAGTTCAATTATACTTTCGTCTTTTACGTTTTGAAGGTTTCTTTTGTAATTATAATAAACGGATTAAAAAATCCATTTAGTCGTTCATTATATTACCTATTGTATTCTTATCGTTCTTCAGTATCGTTCAAATATAATAGCATGAAACCCTTCGCCAGTAATGCGGGGTTAAAATCCATCCTACCGGTGAAAGCATTTTTCAAAGTCCACCCCTCAAGCCGGAAACTTGACCACCCCTTACCATCCCCTGTATTTCGTAGCAGAAAAATGGTCGAACGTGAACGAAGAGTGACGATACCCTGCGTACGACTAGCATGACGATAAGCGGCGATTTTGCCTTCACTTATCGTCGTGTAAACCCGAAGGATGATAAGATAGCCAGGCTATACTGGTAAGAGAAAACCGGACGTGAGGTCGAGACCATAATCCCGACGAATTTAAACTGTTCTCGCAACCTTAGTTTCGAGGGCAAACCCGAAATTGCCAATTAGTTTGGTTATCCTGTCTTCGCATAACTCCGTGGCAACCGGCTTCTGGATAAATAATTGCCAATTCCCCATGGGATCGCTGGATGGTCAGGACACTGGTGGCAGGTCATTTTCTACCATTTACTTGGACCCGCGAGTGGGTCGAGGCCTCGATTTTCGTTTTCGGGCATGAACCCTCGAACAATAGATTGGGTCAATCGTGTGAAAGGTGTATTGTGGTATTCAAATTATAGCAATACTCTAAAATTAAAAGAATTAAAATTAAATTTAAATTATTACTGACGTCGTACGAGGGTTAATGGAATACAGGTGTGTTCACGCAAGATTCGTACATTATATTAGCGGATTTTGTTGCAAAATTTTGCAGCACTTTTGAAAGCGGCTTAAAAACGAACTTCGGGCCGTAATACGAGGTCGTTTTAGATGGACTAGTGGAAAATGGACGGAATGGTTGAAAAGTTTCTAGTGACTACCTTTAAACAATGAGTGATGTATTGTTCTGTCGTTGAATAGGTATAAGAGGATACCGGTTTTATTATGGTAGTTTTATTCAGTAACTGAAAATGTTATTAACAAATATATTCTGTGATACTTAACTCTAAATTGAAAGGAAACCACAAATACGTGTTTATGTTAAAAAAATGTTTAAAAGCAAATATTTTGTCTCGACATTTAGTCCATATGTTTATAAACGTAAATAGAGATAATCTAGAAAGTTGATTTTTATCGTATGACAAAGTTTTATTTCATTTTTTCGTCTTATTTTTTCATATATAAAATCGCAATTTTTCTAATTATAATGTCAGTTATACGATACCTTGTATAATAACAGCGATGCAGTATGATACATGCTTATTTTGAAAAAAGTGATTGCAAAACGCAGCGTGTCTACGTTTCTTTCGATCCGGTGTAGGTAATGTTGATGAAAAAAGCTGTGTTTCGTAATAAAATCGGGAAGTAACATCATTACTTCTACGAATTCGATAGCATTGTTTGAAACATCTCGTCCGAAAGACAACTAGCTAAGGTAAATCTTTCAGCGTACTAAATGAGAAAAGTCTCTTTGAAGCAGCCAACAAAGGTAGCATTCTCTTGTACATACTTAAAAGTTTTTTTCACGTCGTCGTGCTGGAATGGAAACGTCTGAAATTATTTGCAACATTATTTCACGAGGAATTTATATAAATCCAGCAAACAAGATGAAACTTTGTTTCATCGAGAATCAAACGAGGGGATCATTCTTGGAGAAACTATTTGTTTCTTCAAATGAACTGACGCGTGAAAAGATTTGAAAGTATTTTCAAATTTGATGGAATAATAATATTCGTGTTTGTAATATCAGGGTATCGTTGGTGGTACTTTGATAATAGCATTCGTGTGTTGAAGCTAAAGTTTCGAGAAATATAATAACGGAGATGGCATAGCTCGCGGTACTGCACGACGTTTAAGCGGAATTCTCCGGAGGGTGGTTAAGTAGATTCACCGAGTAATTGCGTAAAAATTTGCGACCACTTACGTATTCTGTACACGAGTCAACGATACAACGTAACTGCATACTCGCGGTCTGTTCCGTTAACGTTATAAGCCGTTTTCACGTTGGAAACGAGCCATAGTGTTCGTTAATGGTTGCACCTATTCATTAGCAACCTCTACCGATTCACTTTGTCATTCATATTTGTTTTCTCTTGTTCTGTTTCAGGGTAAGTCGTTGATCTACTTGGTCCACTTTAAAACGCGACAATTTTTTGGATCACATCGGTTCGATTACAAGTAAGAAAACGCTTTTCAAATTTTACCTATCATTTCTTGAGCCTATTATACTTTCCCTTTTTATTCGATTAAAAAACTACACGGTGAGGAAGATTTCGTGGCGTTAGAAACTTTCGAAATGACCTAATATGTCGGCTGGCTGGCAGCCGTGAAAACCTTTCCACCAAATACCGTGGCGGTCGACGTGCTAATTTCATTTCCGCAGCGTATTGATCATCGAACAGAAGCGAGTGCCGCAGGTACATCAGTTTCGGGGTTAGGTCGAGGCTCACCTTGAGCCCCTGTGGCTTAGCCGCGCTTGTACAAGCCGATTTCAATTTAGTTTTCGCAGTCTCGCGAGAATTCCCCGCCAATCGTACCGATTGAACAGCCCTGTTCCGGCTCGCTCGTACTTACCTGATCAAGGTACACCGACCTGGCCTCTCTCAGGCAAGGTCCATTTTCGACGTTGCCGCGTATATGTGGCTGCAAACGTTGCCAACCATTCTCTGTTCCGCACGATGAACGTATGAAACGAAACGCCTACGAAAGAAAATCTTACTGAACATTCGAAACTTGTCTCTGCACGGATCTGTCTTGATTTTCCGAGAATTCTGGATCATTTGTTGCGAAACAGTTGTATTGGAGGAATTTTTCTATTTATTAGTTTAATTGTATATTTTGAATTATCGGTGTAACCTAAATGATAAATCTGGATGAAATCTGTATCTAGGAGGATGAGTATCCTTGCGTTTTGCTAACGTCGCTCTCTCGAGTAAGCTGACTGCAATATTAGCGAAACGTCAGGCCATTTATTCTGTTAGATACGACGATCACGCGGAAACTCAGCTAATAATAAACTAATGAGATTAATTTTAACGTCGCTGGTCACCTATGAAGCCGAGAGCACTCAAAGCGTTAGCGGAGATTGTACGGAATACCTGATGACGGTACAGAAATTCTTGAGATATGTGCGGTGTAATACTGTCAAATATATCTTTCGTTCTATCTTTTGATGAAAATATTTTAAAGATCGCAATTTTAATTCGTGGAATTATTAATTTTCAATCGTTTATGAAGATTGTTATATTTCTAACGAAACGCGATGTCGCTCATTGTATCTGGAAAATTGAATGTCCACGGATATTTCTTAGTAGACGGTACGAAAGAGTCGAGCAATCTTTCCAAGGTGTCTGCTAAGATTGTACCTGGTTAGGGACGCTCGTAACAGCATAGAAACGGTTCGGCAACCTCTCTTTCTCTTGGCCTCTCTTTGACTGGAAGACGGGCAGAGGCAGGCGGTTTGTATGAAACGCTCCGTTCCATTGTTCCCGAATGCTGCAGCTGGTTCCTATACTCACATATACAGGCCGTCTCAAAATAGGTGTTCAATCGAAGAACTGTAGATCCTTCATAGAAGAATTAATGATAAATTCAAAAATTCGTTATTATCCCGATAATTTCAATTATATTTTTTAAAATCCTTGCATTGCTAGCCTTATTTTAAACCGCGGTGGCTCGAAAGAAATTATCGTTCAAAAAGTATAAGCGCAGCAAAGTTAGAATAGTTTTTCTCAAATTATTTAAGTTTCCCGGTGAAACTACACAATAACCTGGAAGAATTTAAACTTACGGAGAAACTAAATTTCCACTTAAAATTCTAAAGCTCTTTACCAGACCGCTTGGTAACGTGTAAAATATCCAAGAGGAGGGAACAGCGAAATTGTACGAGCCACCGGTGAGAGAAGAAAAAAAAAAAACGAAAGTCGAGGAAAGCTATTTTACCAGATCGTCGGATCTGCATTCGAAGATTCGCGGAGCGAAACGACGAGAGGGAAACGCTTGCACGGCTCGAGAATGCTAGAGATGGCCTTATTTCGTTGATTCGGGCCACTGGTCACAATCTGGCGTAAATTCGAAAAATTCCCCTGGCTAGCTGCCTCGTCGAACTTTCTATACCTTATAGTACAAGATAGCCAAAGATAATCAGCACTCAATTTTATTGGAAAACGAATCGCGCAGGCGGAGTCGAAAGAAGCATTGTCCCCTCGAAGCGATTTCAGTCTCGTTTGTTCGTCGCACGGCATTTTTAACGGCACTTCCACGGAATTTATGACCCGGTCGGATAGATTGAAAAATTATCTATCCTCCGTATCGTGACCGCTTCGACTAACTTCGATTAAATTAAAAAGATAAACGAGCTCCTTGCTTAAATGCACAGTGTATGTACGTATGCATTTTGTCATTGTGCCTCTTCGAGTTATTCACGAAAAAAAAAAAAAAAAAATTGAATGAAGCATCGATTGGAAAAAAACTTTTTTGACGATTCGTTTTGGTACACCACAAATTATTACCCTGGTATGAGTGAAATCACGAAGAGGACAAATTGATGCTCGATCTGTTCCGCTGTCCGATCAATCAATTTCGAGCAATGAGTGGGCGAACGAATTCCACGTGTAAATATCATTGCAAAATTGGAGATATTTAACTGTTATTTGCATGCGCTGTTGTATCATTACTCCGAACGTTGAAAATAATTGATCGAAAATATATTTAACTTTCGTTTCACGTGTACAAAGCCTATTACCTTAAGTATAGAACAATATTTGAAATGTAATTATCCTTTCAAATGAAAAACAGAGGAAAAAAGTGTCGTTATTACTGGTTATCAACAGAAGTTCCTGCAATATTTACCCTACTTTGGCGAAGAGTATAATTATAGATTTTCTATTTATGCGGAGTCAATTAGTCTGGTTATTCTCGACTTTTTGCATTGATTTCAGATGAATGATAGAGGTACGTGAAGAATTTTTGAAAGCTTACGGTTCGTTGCATATTTCGTTCAATTATAACATTCGACTACAGTTTCATCGAAATTGCTGTCCTACTTATTCACTGTTGTAAGAATATTTGTTCGTACATTGACAATTTGATTAAAATGTCCGGGTGGCAGAACAGTGACACATATTGTACTAATTTCTTTCGTGTCAATTGTTAACGCATTAGACGAGACATTAAGTTTATTTATAAATTGAATTGACCTCTTTGAATATACGAGAAAGGTTTCGATGTCAAAAGCATCGTTTAATTCATTTTATTGCTATAAGAATATTTCAAAGTAACTATTCAAAGTTATCTGCTTTTTGCTTTTGAGAGGTTCATTATGATTCATTATATTTTGTAAAACAAGTTCACAGGCTGGTAGTTTTGTTAGAACCTGCCTTCGTTCGTTAATTGTTCTATGTAAAGTGAAATTGCACTGGCTCGTTAACAAATTCTCTACTTCGTCAGAACGTTTCGCTAGGAAATTCTAGCTCGTCGAATGAAAAGCGTGGATCACAACGTTGAATCAAAGTTCACGACTTATGGTGGAACGCAGAGCATCGCGACGGCCCGTTATATTTCTTCGTCGACGCGAATGAATTTATGTTCCGCCCCGAACGTAAGGAAACATTCGCGATTGTTTATAGCTGGCGGACTTTCTTCTCGCGGATCTCGCATCCCCTCGCTGTCCTATGCATTTCACGTACGTACGTATGAGTAAACGACCCAAATGCTTTTCCACGGGAAAAGGGTCCCGCCAAGTTGTTTATCGGCTTTAGTCTCCGCTCCGGATCCTTTACGGCGGTTAACTCGCTTCTCGTGAGAGACGATTGCTTTTTTCCAACTTATGGCCCCGCTATGCAAGCGCGCAGAACGAAACGGAACGAACCAGCTATTTTAAGCTGGAATTATGATGCAAAAAGTGGAAAAAAGAAGGGAAGAAAACGGCAGGTAAAATACGTTGTGTACAGAAAGTAGGGGAAAACAGGGGAGGCGAGGATGGCGCTGATTAAAATTGCAAGAATTCGCAGAATTTTGTCCAGAACGTTACAATTTTTCATTCTTTTTTCACTGTTTAATTATTAAGTTCGAAATTGTTTGAGTAATTGAAAACAGTATTTAAAAATTTTTCCCTTATCAACCCTTGCAAAGTACAAAATGTTACTACGACTATAATCAAGCGTTATTAAACGTTAATTACACGCATCAGTTAAAAGGGGGCAGCGTACAAATCTCAGATGTAGAAAATTGATAAAACTCAATCTTTGGAAGTTCCATTTAGAGAGTGGTTTTCATCCGGGAAATGAAAACGACTTCACCGCTGACAAGAGGAGCAATTTAATTTCATTGTCTTTAAAAGTGCGAGTGCACGTCGTTTCCCTTGCATCGGCGGAAACACGAAAAAAAAGGCGCATCCGTGGAAACCGAACCGAATCAGCCCAAATGTCCGACAAAGGATTGTCAAAAGGGATGGTAGCTCCTAACGTTTTCAATTTTCTCGGGCTGATGTACAATTTCCTCTGTAAAATGCCCCAACAGCGAGTTCGCGCTTTGCGTTTACCTCGATGAATCACGAACGAACGCGCTTTTCCAACGAAACTCTACAACCCGGCTACAAACACTCTTTTTTCTCCAGAATTCTCTCGACCTGAAAATATTATCGTCATCGATATTTTCGTCGGCAAATAACAAAGTAATGCCACGTAGCGCTTTGCGCGACCGTTATCTACCTTATCCATCATTCTTTCTTGGCGATCGTGAAAAAATGATCGATCGATGCTTTAACGCGTCCAACCTATCTTTTGTTTCGTAAAAATTCTTCGCTAGGAGGTATGAACGACTATTAATATTTAGGAGGGAGCAAGATATTAGATACTAGTAAGTGGAAGTTCTTCGAACCACAAGATCGGAAGGGTTACGCAAAGTTAGTTTCTCATGGCGTCAAAATCATCCCCATAAAGTGTGGCGATCCGCAGCATCGGGAACGCAAATGTCGGATGCGTGACACGTTCGCAATTTCACTGGAAGCCGCGTAGGCTACTTATATCTGTGGCTAGTGAGCGAGCCGCATCAAATCAGATCTTCCGCCATCACGCGTCGAAAGGTATTTCGAATGATTTATTCGACAGACGGGGCCTGCCCGATCCGTAACGACCTGCGCTAGTCTAGCATTATGCGAGGGCGTATATGACTTCGAA